TCTCTTCTCTTCTCTTCTCTTCTCTTCTCTTCTCATGTCATCTCATCTCATCTCTTCTCTTCTCTTCTCTTCTCATGTCATCTCTTCTTTTCTCTTCTCATCTCATCTCATCTCATCTCATCTCTTCTCTTCTCTTCTCTTCTCTTCTCTTCTCTTCTCCTCTTCTCATTTCTCTTCTCTTCTCTTCTCTTCTCTTCTCTTCTCTTCTCTTCTCTTCTCTTCTCTTCTCTTCTCTTCTCTTCTCTTCTCTTCTCTTCTCTTCTCTTCTCTTCTCTTCTCTTCTCTTCTCTTCTCTTCTCTTCTCTTCTCTTCTCTTCTCTTCTCTTCTCTTCTCTTCTCTTCTCTTCTCTTCTCTTCTCTTCTCATGTCATCTCTTCTCATCTCTTCTTTCTGTTCCTGATTGTATATGTGCTTGTAAGAGGGAGTGAGAGAAGGAATGTTTCAAAGCTTTATTAAATATTTATTTGAAAGCTAATTCACAGTACTTGCAGTCCATAGCAAGTTGCATGATGTAACTGCTTTTTGTGTGTTGAACAGGTCTGGACTGTTTTTGCTCAGGTGTCTGAAATGTCTACCACATAGATAAAGGCTTTTCTTAGCAGGAACTAAAACTAGAGCAACTGCTTACCAGTGCTATATAATGAGTAACAGCCTATAGAGTCATAAATGAACTCCTGTTTTATTCCCACGTCATATGTTGTCTTTGTATTCTGATGCGTGTTTAATCCTCATCGCGCTCTCTGTTCCCACGTTCATGTTGTCCTCTGTCTGGCTTCCACACATAACGTCACATTCTCACAGCAGTCTCTAAAGTTGACAGCACCAGCAGCATCTAACATACAAACTTGACTTGTCCTGCTCTGAAACACTGCCCCAGAAGCTTGGCTTTCATTTTCCTGTCTGTAATGGCTGTGAGGATGAAGGTTGGCATTAACCCTGCTCTAATTGGCTCGTTGTGTGCGCAGGAAGCTAGCGGCCGCCGTTAAGCTGGCTCAGGCCACACAGAACAATGGCACCCTGAAGGGGTCTAACGTGTCCTGCCAGTCTTCAGGGCTCCTACCCCAATGGTAAACACCTAACAGGTCCACGCAGAGCTCCCAAAACCACTTACACTCCTAAAGATAAAGCTTCTGGATTGGCATCTGTGTTTCCATGAAGAACCCTTTCCATTGCACAGAAGGGTCTTTATAGTGAAAAATGGTTCTTTAGATTATTCAAATGTTCACATGGAAGCTTTATTTCTAAGAGTGAAACACGAAGTGTGCAATGCATAGAATTAATTATTGCAATAAATGCATTTCTTAGCTAAATGATTTTTAACCCTGAATATAACGTTCTAAAACACACTCACACATGCACAAAACATTCATTCCACTTTATATCAGGTGTCTTTAACTGTACTTGGGTAACACATTAATTGTCTGGTACAGTGTACTTATTGTGTTCATGTTGCATTGCAAAACACTTTTGCTGCTGTTGAGGAAGGTTAGGGATGCGTTTGGTGTAAGGTTAGGTTTAAGAGTGGATTAAGGGGTAGAAATAGGATCAACAGTGTAATAATAGTGTAATAACTACAGAAATGAATTCCATGCAGGTATTTTTTAAATGTAAGTACTAGTGCTGTCAAATCGATTAATCGCGATTAATCGCATCCAAAATAAAAGTTTGTGTTTACATGATATATGTGTGTGTGTACTGTGTATATTTATATGTATATATAAATACACACACATACATGTATAAATGTAAGAAATATTTACATGTGTATATATTCATAATTATATATGATTTGTATTATATATAAATATAAATATATATACATTACATTTATTTCTTAAATATATACACGTATATGTGTGTATTTATATATACATATAAATATACACAGTACACACATGCATATATTATGTAAACACAAACTTTTATTTTGGATGCGATTAATCGCGATTAATCGATTTGACAGCACTAGTAAGTAAGATGTAAAAAACATGTATGTACACAGTGAGTGCAATTTGTATTAAATGATTCATTTAAATGCTAGTGCTTAAAGACACTTCATATAAAGTGGGTCCGTCCTGTGTAAATATCATCATGTTACATCCATAGTGTGGGAACCATTTTTGTCTGTATCCAGCAAGCCTGTCTCATTCACCTCCTGATATCGTTTATACTTGCTTTCTGCAAGTCTTAAAAAGGTCTTAATTCATTCTTTCACAAAATAAAGCCTTAAAAAGTCTTAAATTCATAAAATCATTAAATGTGACATGCACTGCAAAAAAAATGAATCTTCCTCAGTATTTTTGTCTTGTTTTCCAGTACAAACATCTAAACATCCGTAAAGGGATAGTTCACCCAAAAATTTAAATTCTGTCATTAATTACTCACCCTCATACTTTTTGTGCGCAAAGAAAACAAAAAATAATGACTTTATTCAACAATTCTTCACCTCCTCATCCCATCTGCAGTTTTTGTTTTCTTTGCGCACAAAAAGTATTCCCGTAGCTTCGTAAAATTACGGTTGAACCCCTGATGTGACATGGACTATTTTACCGATGTCCTTGCTACGTTTCTGTGCGTTGATCGTGGTAATATCCTTGCTGTCTATGGAGGGTCAGAGAGCTCTCAGATTTCATCAAAAATATCTTAATTTGTGTTCTGAAGATGAACGAAGGTCTTAAGGGTTTGGAACGACATGAGGGTGAGTAATTAATGACAGAATTTTAATTTTGGGGTGAGCTAACCTTTTCAATCAAGATTTACATTTACCTGAGATTCAAACTGAAGATGTAAAGTCTTGTTTTCTGAACAAATTTAACAAAATTAAGTGAGTTTATGCCTAAAAGTCAAGTCAAGTCAATGCAGATTGTGTCAAAGCAGCTTTAAAGTATTAAACAGGGAAATAGTGTGTCGAAATAGTGTGCAGTTCTCCTCTGGCCAGACGAATCCAGCCATTTAATAGGCTGCAGCAAAGTCAGATTGTGCAGAGGACTCATCTGGTTCCCGTGGTCTTGTCCCAATGGCCATCTAGGAGACGAGGTCTTCACTGGGGATCTGTCTCTGGGGCTCATCTAGTTGTCCTGGTCTCCACTGACATTCATAAAACAAGATCTGTCTGTCAATGGGATATTAAAACCTGTTTCCTCTTTTAATTAAGTTGTTTTTTCTGAGCCTATTGGTAGATATTTGTTCTTGTTTTAATCAGAAACTCACTTAATTTTGATAATTTTCTCATAAAACAATTATTATTTCCATTCTCTAGTGTTAGGGAGCAGCGCTATTCAAGCCATATGTCCTTTTTTTTTATAAAATTAATTAAAATTGGAAGTTGTATTTCAAACCTTGAAGTGTTGCCAATACAAGACATTTGCATTTAGAAACATATTTACATAATGTGTTCCATTCAATTTATCTTTATTTTATTTTTACTTGGTCTTAAAAAGTCTAACATTTACCTTCATAAAACCTGCAGAAACCCTGTTACATGTCTCTGTTGTTACAAATAAAATAAAAGGCTATTTAGTTTATTTTGTAGTTTGCACATTCACACATTTTTTAAATACTGTTGACTTTCTGTAAACACTGAAATAATTTCCAGCAGTTCCAAGCAAGAAAGTGGAGAAATAGAGGGAGAAAAAGGGGGAATTGAATCATTTTCTCTGCTATTGTCATGACATCTCAGGATTATGTTATTGCTGCTGTTCCCAGGATGCTCTCTGCTCAGGACGGGCACAGACACGCCCGCTCACAGACCATGCCCATCATCAGGGGGAAGAACGCCCTCACCAACCCCAAACTGCTGCACATGATGGAGACCACGGGTAAACATACACTCAGCTCAACCACCGGTGAAAACCTGTGATACATACAGCAAAATTACAATGACTGAACTGAGCAAAAGCATGTGTATCATAACTGGTGTGTGTGTGTGTGTGTGTGTGTGTGTGTGTGTGTGTGTGTGAGATGGAAATGTGTCTGAAGGAGAAAGCGTCAGCCCTACAGATATTGAAGCCAATCTTTCTACTGAAGTAGCACTGACCGTGCTAGATGTTCTGGATCTGTTTGTTCATCATCACAAGGTAATATAGACACAGCTTTATGATGTGTACAATATACACTCTGATAATAATGTTTTTCCACACAAGAGAATACATAGTTTCCATACTTACTAGAAGTATATGAATTAAGATTAGAGCTTAGTGATATACAGTATCATAAAATTCTTTAAACAATATTTTTTTAGCCTTTTGCAACATCTTGATATTTATGCACAAACATGAAGACTAGGAGAAATTATATTAAAAAAAAAATTTTTTCATATGGATCAATGACAAGGGTGTCTGAGATAATAAAAAGGACTAAATCTTTTGAAAATAGTTTGAAAAACAGGGCTTAGTTTTTAGAAATCTTTATCATTTTTTTCATTTTTTGAAAAAAAAAAGTTTTCTACAATTTGATTTTAAGACTCTAAAAAATGACAGATGATGTAACCATCTAATAAGAAATACTTTAATTGTACATGAAGTGTGCATAACTAAATCTTTTTTTTTTTCAAGCATTTTCAAAGATTATTTATTTATTTTATTATTTTTATTTTTTTTAGTCATGAGCATCAAGCAGTTTTTTCTGTTTGGGCTGAACAAAAATGTGCCAAAATATCTTATAATAATAATGACTGCACTTTGATTGGGTGGACAAAAGTATTTCAGATACTAGTAACAGTAATAATAGTAAATGCTTCATTGCTTACTGTTTTTAAGAAATAACGCAAGATCATGTCACACTACACATGCCAACATTAACTCGTTTAATGTCAATTTAGATATCAATCAATGTTGACACTAATATATCTGAACACTGTTCTGCTTGTGAAAAAATGGATGGATTGAAAAAGTATTCTTTTGGCCAAAAATCACTGCAGTATTCACAATCAATCTGTCTGTGACTGTTCACATCGTTCTGATTGTAAGGAGGTTATTTTGCCATCTGGTGGACACATGGTGCATTTTCCTCAAGATGACTAACTCCTTGCTATCTTCTCTTCTTCTGCAGAAACGGTTGCAGCACGATGACGGGCAAAACTCTGTGATGAAAAAAGTGTTTGACACGTACCTGCTGTTCTTCCAGATCAACCAGTCCACCAGCACCCTCAGACACGTCTTCACCGCCCTGCGCCTCTTCATTCACAAGGTGTCACTCTTTCTCCTCATACGTGCTCAAACCTTTGTTCTTCCCAACAGTGGCCGGTGCAAGAAATTATTGGGTGTATTCAAATGGTAAAGTAGTGCATCTCTGATCACTCTGACAATTACTTTGTATTTCCTTAAGGGATTAAGTTGTTTCCTTTAATATGGAACAGCTGGCCCCTTTTCACTTTGAAAAAAAACTGGAATTCACCCATTTTCTGATTTTTAGGAGCCAAGCACCAAAAGTGGGTTCTGTTCAGGAGTCTATGGCAGCCCATAAAACTGCTTGTAGGAAAGTTATGAAATTTGGCACACAGATAGAAGACAGTCTCAACATTAATCATCGCAAGTTTGGAGTCTCTAAATCAAACTCTCTAGCGCCACCGCTTGTCCAAATTTTCACTCATGTTTATACTAATAACTTTTGAACCATAACGTTTAGAAGCGAAATTCTGTTTCCTCTAATTCCTTGGCTCATGCCGAGTCAAATGGACACCAAAATTTAAATTTCTATGGGTCAAGATTTTTCGCAATTTTTAATTATACGAAAAACATATTTTTTTTAACCTGTCCTAGACAGTTTGTCTGATTTTCACCAAAATTGGCTCAGATCATCTTTAGACCATGCTTGCAAAAATGATGGAATTCAAGTTGATTAGTCAAACACTTTAGGTGTGTTTTTGGTGTGTTTTATAATAACTATGACCTGAGGCTACCTGCACAGTTTCACTGCAGTGCCACCTAGTAGTCGGGAGATATGAAAAATGGCTATTGTCGCTTATAACTTCTGAACAGTTTGGCCAAAAATCACTGCCAAAGCGTTGGCATATTCACACCAAACTTTGTATGTGCCATTGTCATCTCACACTGAACACATCGATTTGATAACATCGCCACCTATTGGTGAAAAGAGATCGGCCATTAAAGGCACAATATGTACATTTTGCCGCTAGAGGGCGCGTATTCAAAATAAACAAAGAGACAAAGGCATAGTTTGATGCCTCCGTGACT